GGTGTTCTAAGGTCAACGCAGCCCTGGGTAGCCACTGCAGAGTTTTGTGCTTTGAAAATGCTCCCTCCCTGGCTTCCTTCTTCTTCTTGCCTCCCTTGGGTTAGCGTGTTCAAAATATAAAGTGTCACAGTTCATCATTATTCCCTCCAAGGTGTCTGCAATCACAAATGCAGACAGTGCATCTTATGAATGCATATGAAGATTGATAAAAAGGCAATCTTTTTATCAAGGAAGCAAAGTCAGACAAACCATTTGATGCTGGAAGGCAGCTGCACAGGCACCCCAGAAGGTGACCTGGGAACTGTATTTAGATTGTGTACATAAAGGATTTCACCATAGATGGATGGCCCTAGAGTTAGCGCATATTCTAAATTTGTCTTTGTATTTCCATCAGCAATGAAGATGATGGAAGTATAGAAACAGAAATTGATCATGACATACATAGATATATAGGTTTCAACTGCAATGTGAATAAAGTGGAGAAAATGGGGAACAATCAAATAAATATCTTATTTTTATGAAAAATATAATGTCTAGTGGAGAACACTGATTTATCTTTGATGACCAACTCAAGCGGCACCTTCTCTAGGAAGCCTTTCTCACCTTGTCTCCCAGAGAGAACTGGTCTTCTTTAACTCGCTCTACCTAGAACAGACTTCTACCTAGCATCTACGACATTCGATTGTTTTTATGTATGTTTCTATCCCGTGACTAGATTTCTTAAAGGCAGGGAAGGGTCCTTTCTGTCTGTCTCTGTCTCTCCAGCACATGAGCTAGTATCTGCCACATGGTAGGTGCTCCATGGATATTTTCTAAGCTGCAAATTTGAAGGAGAACTCTCTGCTACTGTGGAGAAGGCAAAGCCATCACACAATAAAATGATGTGAAGGTCATGTGTATCTTTAGAATGAGCTCATCTCCCTTTCTAGACCTCTTTCCTCTCTTAAAGACACCTTATTTTCCAACTTTCTAGACTCAGAGAAGTTGTCTGTGGCCAAAGCCCCAGGCTGTGGAACTAAAACTACCTTCTCTTTCCTAAGAACTCTCTGACCTCACAATGCCTCTCTTTCTGCCTCCCTTCTTCCACTCCAGAAATTAAAATCATTTCTTTTTATTTAGTAGGAAGAACGTGTTTTCATTTGAAAAGATAGCAGCAGCTTAACCCGAGTAAGTCTCAGGTTGGAGAAATTTCAAGAATAATGATAAAGGGCAAAGAAGAATTCCAACCCTGGAAAATCAAGCCCCTGCCAGGGAGAAACTTAGAAGCATGGCTTTGAATCACATTGATTTGGTTCCTCTGGCCTGGTCAACTAGATTAAATTAATTCGCAAGCTGAGCTTTGTATGTAGTGTTTGTGCAACTCATCCACCTTACTTTACCTGCTGACTTCTTAACCAAGAGTGCTGAAATTAGAGCCATTGTGTACAGCCTGCATGTAGACACTTTCTTTTTTTGGAGAAAGCAAAATGGGCTCCCTGTAATTTCCACCAGATGCCCAACAGTGTCTCATCATAATTTCCACCAGATGCCCGACAGTATCTTCAGTCGGAAGGTTAAGACAAATGAACTAACAGAAGACTCTTAATTCTTCTCAGGGAGATTTGAATCAATCTTCCCATAAAAACTCTCACAGATAATAAATACCCTTCCCCTGTAAACCCTGTGCTTTTCTGATCTTTTTGCAATCTCTAATAATCCTTAACTTCCAATAGTATTTGCACAGCTATATATTTTTTCACGACAGTGTATCAAAGTGACATTAAAATATTCTCAGTTCTTTGTAATGCAACGCCTACCTCCTAGGATTCCCCAGTAATTAGGTCAATGGCCTAATAGAACAAACATAGTGGGAACAAGCTGTAAGAATATCGATTCTTTATTCCTCAAAGCAGCATTTCAAAGTCTGCAAATGAAGCCTTAACTGAAAGAAATATAAATGTAAGACGACACAAGGAGGGAATAAAGAATCGCAAAATCTAAGATTTGGGAAGAAACTGAGAGGTTGTTATTTGTGTCCCTGCACCCATTGCTGGGATAGTTATTATGGTGTCTCCAACAAATAGTCATGCATTATGATTATTTGAGGACCTCCACTGGTGAGGAATTCACTGCCACTCAAGGTATTTTATTCCACTGTTATAATCCCTGAATTTCTAGAAGGTTCATCTTAAAATTTAGTCAAAATCTCCCCTGTAGTTAGGTTGCTTTAGAAATCTGGGTAACACGACTCCTTCCGCTATCTAGATTGCCTTTCAAAAAGTTGAAGGCAGTTTTTTAGTTCCGCGTTCCTTATCATCTTTAGACAGCACTTGGCCCTGCTTCTCTTTGCTTATCTTCACAGTTCCCGGTACTGTGCAGTTTGACTGGTAATTACCCAGAGAGTTAATGAAGAAGTGAATGATTGAGCACCTATCTTAGCTGTATCTCTGCAGTATAAGGAGATGGCAAGAGATGCCCAGGGTTTTAAATCAGGGCATGGCATCTTTCCTGCCACCTACTGCTAGTGGGTCCTCTGGAGCAAGGTGGGGTAGGGGCAGTCTGAGCTGGAGTGGGGGGGTGCTCTCTTACTAACAGTGGTCTGGACACCCATCTCCAATGAGTTAGTCTGAGATAACTAAAATATATAAAACCAAAAATATATAAAAGCAAGCTGTACCCTGACCACCTTGCGCACATGTTCTCAGGACCTCCTGAGGGCTGTGCCATGGGCCATGGTCACTCATATCTGGCTCAGGACTCATACTTGAACTTTCGCACATGCCCTCAGGCCTAAGTTTAAAAAAATCTTGCAAGGCACAGGTACCTTCTTCATTCCTGCATGTAGCCAGGGTTTTTTTTTTTTTTTTTTTTTTTTGAGATGGAGTTTCACTCTTGTTACCCAGGCTGGAGTGCAATGGCTTGATCTCGGCTCACCGCAACCTCCGCTTCCTGGGTTCACGCAATTCTCCTGCCTCAGCCTCCTGAGTAGCTGGGATTACAGGCATGCACCACCATGCCCTGCTAATTTTTTGTATTTTTAGTAGAGACGGGGTTTCACCGTGTTGACCAGGATGGTCTCGATCTCTTGACCTAGTGATCCACCCGCCTTGGCCTCCCAAAGTGCTGGGATTACAGGCTTGAGCCACCGCGCCCGGCCTGTAGCCAGGGTTTTAAAGCATGCAGATGCCTATGGGATCCGGCAGCTTTTGATAGGGTAAGAGTTCAGGAAGTAAGAAGACACAGGCAGGGCAGAATTTAAGAATGCCTCCTCAATTGAATAGATTCGCATTATTTAAGACATTGTGCATTTTAAAAACACTCTTAGTTTAGTCCTTGTGGTTTAGAATACAGAATATGCCACCAGACAGAAGAAGGGAGGGTGAATCCAGCCCTGCTTCTTACTGGCTGTGAGATTTGGAAGTGCCTCAGTTTCTACAACGATAAAAATTACACCAATCAAACAGGGTCATAATGAGAAGTAAATGCTGTGCGGATTAATTAAAATAGTGCTCAGCATAGAGTTTTATGTGCATGTGTATGTGTGTGTGCAATTTGATACAATTATATTCATTATGCACTGTCTGTCTTCATGGCAGCTGTATTTCCCAAGGAGTGGCCTGACAGGTACAATTGTGCCTATGGAACTATACCCAAAAGATGCTTTGGAAAAAATCTTGCACATTAGTGCTCTGTAGCCAACCATATTACTATGGTCCAATGACATCATCAGAGGATGATCTCGTTTAGAAAGAAGATTGCTGGGCTGACTATTGGAAAACCTAGATTCTGGTCCTTGCTGTGCCATAGATTGCCTCACTGGCACATCCACCTGCTGAACTTCTCCACGTCTCAGTGTCCTCAATCAGCCTTATCACTCTCACAAAGCGCTGATGGGCAGAGTCTAAGACCTGCCATGTTTATAGAAGGGTCCTAATCATAATTACATTAAAGGCTATTGGTAAACAGATCTAATGAGCCATAATGTTTTCCCCTCACTCTTGTGGGTTCTTCAAGTCCAGATGGGCTTGGAATGAGCCACTGTTATCCTAGTCTCTATTTTTCTCCTTTTTCCTTCCCTTCTATTTTTCTCTTAGAAAGAAGGACACCTGTTACATCATGCGGCCCATCATTTTTAATATAGCACTTCAGGCCTGATTCAGTATTTCATCATTTCTTTAGTCCCATACATCATTCATGGCTTTTGATGTTGTAAATATCTGGAAAGCAAGATGAATCGAAGAGGAATAAACCCACGAAGAAATAAAGCAAGATAATAATTTAGAGTTTCCTCATTGGGCCTGGAGAGGACGCTGTGTATGGGGCACACTCCAGGATTCCTTTCTGTTAGGCCCCACCACTGTTCAGGCAGAAAAGAAAGGAAGTGATAACATTTTGGTTTATAGAACAACAATATTATAGTTTTATCAAATAAAATGCCCAAAATCTTTCTGTTTCAAAATAGCAAATGCCACAGTTTGTCATTATATTAAAACAAATCAGCCTGAAAAAAAAAAAAAGAAAGAAATCTGATTCTCAGAAGCAAGCCACCTATTCTTTGCAGTTATGACTCAAATATTAACTATTTTTCTCTAAGACCTGGAAAATCACCTTCTATTAATGCAGCCTGCATGCATGCTTATTGTTTTAACCGCCTTCGTAAAGAAGGCTGCAGGAAAAATATATGTGGCAAGTGTCCTTCTGAAATTCAGATATGCTTATGATCTTCTCCTTTGCACTTAACGAATTCCGGCACAGAATAAATAATAAAGAATTACTGCTATCCAGTTGAGGCAAATTAAAGTCAATGCATTTGAGACTTCGGCAGTGAATTGACACTGGCCCTGAAGATCAATGGCAACTCATAAAGGTAAAGTATAGTCAAGGGTTTGGCTGGAAGTCTGAAAATAAGCTGCCCAGGTGGGCCCAACTTGAGGTTGAAATTATGCAGAGTTCTGGAGTGCACGCACCTGTCCCTCCAGCCCAGGCTGAGACGCCACTGGGCATCATGACATCACACTCACCATTCTTGCAGAGCAGAACAGCCAGGAAGTTCTGAGAGGAAGAATTGACAAAGAGCAAAAGACTGGGTGCTTGGGCTGTCACAAAGCTAAATGCAATGCTTTCCTTGGATGGAGCTGAATCTGTGTAAATAGCTGAAGATGAGAGGCTTATATTCTTGGTCACAGGATAGGGTTCTTGAAACATGTAAGTAACTGACGTGCCAGCCTCAAAAACAGCAGAAACTTCTGAAAAATATAAGAGGGGAGAGCACACATTGAAACCTTTAGGTCCATTGCTTAAGCCAGCCATAACTGCTTGCTCTTGTTTCCTATGCACTGGGCACTGTGTGAGGAGAATTACATGCATCTCACGATGTGTTTCCACCATCATTTTGAAGTGGCAGAAGTCATTATTCTTATTTATAATGGGAAGCTTGAGGATCTCACAGGTTGCAAACCTTGAACAGGGTGGCATAGCCAGGAAAGAAAGCTCAGGTTTGCCTTCTGCAGTTTAGGTGCAGTTCTGCATACCATCTATCTGCAAAATAACGACCATGTGCCATGCAAATTTCCTGAGAAGCAAAGATAAGGTGTCCCTGCCTCCAGCACAGCGCATAGAGAAATGCACCGGTACCATCTTACTCCCAAAACTGAGAACCTTGAGAACCTGACAGTTCTGGTTCGTGTTCTTCTTCTCGTGTCTCAGGGAGAGCGTGGATGGTCATTAAGTAGAGTAAGACATCGGGGTGAGCAGCAGTAATTCTCCATGATGTTGGGTAAAACGTGAAGAAAAATGAAAGCAGCAACGAAGAAATTTATGGAAAAGTAGAAAAGGCCTAAGTATACAACTCTTAAACTCATTTTTTTTTAGGTGTGTAGGCATTGACACTCAGTTCCAAATTACAGCCAAGACTTGGGTAAAGAGGCTGTCCTATGGGAAACAGTCCCTCTAACACAACACACTGGATAGAGATCCGCCACCACCAGGAAGAAATATGGGATCTAGAAACTGATAAAATTCAATTAGCGGGATCTGCAAGTCACCCAGCCTCCTGGGAGAATGCTCTAGCATGCCAAGTGTTATCATGTTAATGCAGTGGCAGGAGCACTGCCCGAGTCAGCACTGAATCTAGATGTCCATTTGACTTCACGCTGGCCGTGTGATCTCAGGCACGATAACGAACTCTATGGAGAACGTTTTCTTATGAATGGGGATCATAACACCTACCTCATCCGCATTTCTCTGTGGGTAAGTGAGCTGATGTATGTAAGGCACTTAAGAGAGCTGCCCAGTACAGTTTGAACTTACAGAGTGTTAGAAGAGAATTTAACCAGAAGCCATCCCAATAGACTTTTATACAATATATGCATTTATTAACTGCTCATCATCTGTCCCAGTGCTGACATACTCTCCTTGGATCAAGGTTGCTCTTGAGTTCACTTTAAATTTTATCTCTATACAGTAATGGAGTATGTAGAGGAGGCTCTTTCATAGGGCAGTACACCTTAGTTCAGGCAGCAAACCTCTGCCATAAAAATTGCACAGTAAACATGAACCCATATTGGCATGATTAATTTCCCTTTAACCTAAATGGCATATGGAATGTTCCAAACACTCCATGAAAGTCTCTGATTGAGTTAGTGGCACCTAGAATATAATAATACCCGGCTTTTGCTTCTTAATTCTATTGCAAATGTGTTCCACCTCGTGAAAATTCTGTAGCACTCTGTAATAGTGCCAAAAAATTAAAGTTGCATATTTATGCATATTGCCTAGCAGATTGGGAATACTAGTTCATTTTTACTAAAGGTGGAGAGAAAGTGTTTTGCATTTATCATGCAGGTTACAACCTTGGTACTCCTGATTATAAAAATATGCAGCAGACATCTGTGGCAGTGAAAATTCTGGTTACCATCAGCTTGATTCAAGAATTTTCCTTGAGCAAATTTTCTCAGGGATATTTGGCCTGCATGTTGAGCTACCACCTCTTAGTTAACAAAATAAAAGGCCTTTATCTCATGTTTGTGTGTGTGCTAAACAGAAGTAAAGTTCAGAGCCTTCTGTTAGGAATAACATAAATATATATAGGGGCATATATAGGATATTACTTTTTTCTTTATACTTAGGAGAAGAAATTAAAAATAAAGAGCATTTTGTAATTAGAAGTGTAAAACAGGGCCAGGAGTGGTGGCTCATGCCTGTAATCCCAGCACTTTGGGATTACAGATCCCTGATCCAAAGTAGGCGGATCACCTGAGGTTGGGAGTTCAAGACCAGCATGACCAACATGGAAAAACCCTGTCTCTCCTAAAACTACAAAACTAGCCAGGCTTGGTGGTGCACCCCTGTAGTCCCAGCTACTTAGGTGGCTGAGGGGAGAATTGCTTGAACCTGAGAGGGGGAGGTTTCAGTCAGCCAAGATTTTACCATTGCATTCCAGTCTGGGCAACAAAAGGGAGACTCCATCTCAAACAAACAACAACAACAACAAAAAAGTCAAACTAAATTTCTGTTGTCACTCTTCCTCCAGCTCCAGTCTAATTATTTTTAATATTTAAATATTGTCTATTTTATCATAAAGCTAAATTCAGCAATACACCTGGATTATATTATTATTTCAGTTTCTTATACTTTAAAATCTAAGAGTTTAACTTTTTGATCAGATGGATTGAGGTATCAGAATATCTGAAACCACTGGCCTTAAAGGATAAAGAAATAACTTGAAGGTGGTGTCTAATGACCATGTTGCTTCTCCAAGGCCACAGAGCCACGATCGGCCACATCCCTTGAGCTTGGTTCCACCTCTTGGTGGAAGAAGCTATGCTAACTCGGTTCTGAGATGGTAAGACACACATTTTAAAAAATAAACCTAGTGGAAGTTAACCCTGGGCTTGATGTGTTAGTGACAGAGACAATGTTTTCCAGAGCTGGATGTCTCTGAGAGGAGAGTATCCTGAGCAGGCCTGCAAGAGGATCTCCACATTGACAGCGCGTTGATATGTGGCACGAACTAGAAGGAGCTGAAAATGGGATGATACTGGAGGGTGTGCCTCCGAGCCTCCATGGGGCCTATAGACTTGGAGCTAGGGCCTGGTTCTACCCATGTCTTGGGGTCACCGGATCCTACTCAACCTCAGGTTACTCAAATATAAATCAGGATGAATTCAATCTTGGGATGGGTTAAAGGATTGGAATAAAGTACATAAAAGCACAGCACATAGTAGGAACTCAATAAATAGTCTTATTAAGCTGGTCTTAATACTAGTAATAGAATTAGATTTGGAATTAGAACAAACAGAAAGACCAGTGCTGGGTGATAAATAGTCTAGAAATTGTCCAGAAATCATCCAAGCTGTAATTAATTTAGATAAAATCAAACAAACTAAATAAAAATAAAACAATTGGAAATTTGAATACTGAGCAAGTATTTCAAAAATTATTATACTTTTCTTATGATAATGATCCTGTGGATATATGTTCATAATGAGTGTTTATCTTTTAGTAATAAATGATGTAATATTTATAGAGGAAATAGTATTATGTTTGAGATTTGCTTCAAAATAATAAAGGAGAAGCTTAGGAGGTGAATGTATTGATGAAGCAAAAATGATCATGAGTTTATAACTGTTGAAGTTAGATAATGGGTGCATGGGAGTTCTTAAACTCTTGTCCTACAGCATATTTTTGCCATTTTTCTATAATAAAAAGTAAAAATAAATGATATAGTTTGAAAGAAACATAAGGATTAAATGATTTCTGACAGGTTTTTGGCAATATGTAAAGAGTACCCAAATGTACATACTTTTATTTTTTCACTGAAATTATTATATTAAGAAAATAATCAATATTGTGTTTATCATAGCATTGTTTACACACAAAATTTTAGTTAATGAAAAATGTCAATCAAGAAGAGCCAGCATTTAGTGAGACTTTATGTACCGTGGGTATCCCACGTGCTTTGTAGAGTGCTCATAGAATGTTAAACATGACTCCCTGTGAAATATTCCTGCACTTTCCACATCTCATAGACGAGGAAACCAAGGAATCTTGAGGTTGAGGTACACAACAAGTGTCACACAACGTGGGCCATAGATGAACCAGAGCCTGAACTTGGGCAGGGGTGGTGCTAGCCCCATGATTTCTCTGTGAGTGGTAATGCTCTGGTAATAGGATGGATTAAACTAGGCAAGGCAATAGTGCCAGATGGAACATATTGCAATCATTAAGACGGATGCATGAAAATATTGATGACTTACATAAAAATACTGTTGAAAGGAAATAAAGAAAATTCATAAATAAAGTGCAATGGACAAAATTATCTCAGTTATATTAAGTGCAAGGGGAAAAATACTAGGAGGAAGTACAATTTCCCCATTAATGATTATTTCTGAGCACTTAGGTTGGGTTTTAACTTTTCTAGATTTATAAATAAATTTTAAAATAAATTTTATAAGTAATTATCTTACATTTTAATTAGGAAGAAAAACACTTAAAATACTATGACAGTCATATCCAGGTTATTTATTAATGGTGCGTGTGTAGCGAGGATGAGTGAGCTAACAACAAACACACCTCAACAAACGGTGTTGAGACAAGCAGATATCCACATGCAAAAGATTAAAGCCGGATCCCCTATCTCACAACAAATACAGAAATTCACTCATAATTCATCAAAGACATAACTGTAAGAGCTAAAACTATAGCACTCTTAGGAGAAACCACAGGTGTAAATCTTCATGATCTTGGATTAAGTAAGGGTTCCTTAGCTATGATTCTAAATGTATAAACAAAGATAGCAAACTAGAGAAAATAAACTTCATCAGAATTTGAACCTTCTGCATTTCAAAAGATACCATGAAAAAGACAAAATACAACCCATAGAACTGGAGAAAACATTTGCAAATCATATCTCTAATAAGGGAATTATATTTCAAAAACACAACAAATTCTTATAACTGAGTAGTAAAAAGAAGAAGAAAAAAATTAAAAATCTACAAAAGATGGAGAATTGCTTGAACCCGGGAGGTGGAGGTTGCATTGAGCTGAGATCATGCCGCTGCACTCCAGCCTGGCGACACAGTGAGATTCTGTCTCAAAAAAAAAAAAAAAAAAAAAAAATCTACAAAAGATTTTAAATATTTCTCCAAAAAATGCATATGAATATATAAATGGATCATAAGTACATGAAAAGATGTCCAATATTCTTAGTCATTAGAGAGATGAAAGTCAAAACCACAATACAATAGCTTTTCATATTCAGTAGGCTATTACCAAAAAGTCAGACAATAAAATGTGTTAGCAAGAAGGTTAAGAAATTGGAGCCCTCATACACTGCCAGTGAGAATGTAAAACGGAATAGCTACTTTGAAAAAGTTTGACAGTTCCTCAAAAGGTTAAACCTAGAGTTAATGTATGACACAACAATCTCACTTCTAGCTATATATCTAAGAAAACAGACAACATATGTCCCCATAAAAATGTGTACATGTTTATAGCAGTGTGATGTATAATAGGTAAAGAAATGAAACTATCCCAACATCCATTAACTGATCAATGAATGAACAGATAAACAAATTGTGGTGCTTTCACACTATGGGACACTCTTTGGCAATTAAGAAGGAATAAAGTAATGATGAATGTTAAAACACGGATGAACTGTGATCATATTATACTAAGTAAAAGAAATCGGACACAAAAAGGCCACACACTATATGGTTCTATTTATATGAAAGGCCCAGGATGGGCAAATCCACAAAGAGAGAATGTAGATTAGTGGTTTCCAGAGACGGGGGAAGGGTTGATGGGGGAAGGGGTAATGGGGGCTAATGGCATGGAATTTCTTTTTGGGATGATGAAAATGTCTTGAAATTGATAGTGGTGATGGCTTTACAACTGCGTGAATGTCATAAAGATCACTGAATTAGATACCTTAAAAGGGTGGATTTTATGGCATATAAATTATATCTCAATAATAAAAAGAGATAAAAAATACACAAAACAAAAGTTGCATGTTTGAAGAGATGGAATCCTATTATCATGTTCATGTATAGAATGAAATTAGGGTCATAAAGAGAAAAAGTGAACAAAAAATAAGCCAGAGGGACCTCCAGCTCTGACATTTAGCAAGTCAGTACACCTTTATAAACCACTAATCAGTTAAATTTAGATATTAATACCTGCTTTATTTGTTTGGATGAGGAATATATGTTGCAGTTAATTACTAGTTATTGATTTTTTATCATGGTTATTTCTTTCTACCATTATGAGAAACAGAAAATCGGCCAATGGGCCATAGTTCTGACCTAGGGATTGGTAATGCAAAAATATGTCCCTAATTCTACCCAAGATATAATCAGCATTTACACACCATCTCCTTGAAATATACTATGCCATAATAACTGGCAAGGAAGACTACCCCAATCGCCCAAGAGACCACCCTTTGTTCAAAACCGTCTTGTAGCCTCTGGCTCCACATTTCAGTTCCAGCCACATCGCCCAGAGGCAGTTGGCAGGGCTCAAAGATGCGACTAAAAAGACAATCTTACATACATTGTGAGGACTGAATATACAGTGAATTATTTGGTGAGCATTATCAGAAAGAATGAATAGTTTGGAAACAGCGAAATGCAAAGCACACAAAACGGCTAGGCACACATTTGCCTATGTAACTTGTAGATCATTAAAAAAATTGGGAAGAAGCACAGAGGTGTTGAAACCTATGCAGGAAAAAGATACAGGGCTGTGGGCAGAAGAAAATTGATAGGAATGGCTTTGGAGAAAGGAGCCCAAAAAATAAAAATAAATTAGGCTACATTTAGAACAATATGATATACGAGATCTTTGAATAATTTCCCTAGAGAAATGCAGAGAGGTCTCCCGTTCACTTTCTTCCAAACAAAAGACTTGGGTAGAGATGCTGAGAATTCTTGTGCATCTCAGTGTGTGGGTCATGGTATTTACTCTGTTTGTGCTCCTAATAGTGTGGGGGACAGCTGTAAGGTGGCATTCACACTTCTCAGGGGAAGTTGTTCGGAGACCTCTCCCAGTGTGAATACCTAGCAGCACTTTCCTTGTTTAGCTCACAATACAACCCCTTGGAATGCAACCTGTTTTATTTTAAGCTCCCATGTACTTAGCCCTAAAATTTTTACCATTAATTTTCTCCCAAGAAGCATAACATGCTCTTTGGCAATAATAAGTAAGTAATTCAAACTAATTGAGGAGAAGGCACCTGTAAGAGTGAATGGCGGGTTTAAATTATAGTATCCCTCCGAGAAAACAGTGAGTGTTTTTTTCCCCTCTTTTGTCTCTAAGCTCCAACTGTAGTAAGCTGGACTAAATAAACCATTGTTTTGTAAAGGTGCTTTGAAGATGTGCTTCAATGAAGAGAGAAAAATTACTTATAATTGCTATGATTATTTGTAAATGGTGTCTCAAAATGATTCAAGCATTTTATTTTAATAATTCAAATGCTGCTCTTGAAATATTGTTTACATTATTCACTGAACAAACCTTATTCCAGCAATAAAATAAACTTAAAATACTGCAAAGATTCAGAGTACACCAAATCTTTTTTCTTATGTTTGAAAAATACTACGTATTTATACTCAATATTGAAATTTTCTAGTTTCTTGAGGTATCTTGAATTTATCTAGAGAATTCACACAATAATCCTCATTCCTTGTCCAAGGTGCATATCCATGATTTTTCATTTGTGTCAATGTAAATAACTCATAAGATTGTGAAGGGGTGTAGAGAAAGCCCCAGGGCAGAAATTTTGACTTTCATGTGCCTTTCAGTCCCAGCTTACTGATGAACTAAATATGAGCCTTCAGACAGGGCTCTTAAAGCCTCGGACCTTCGCTCACATCACCTGCAGAATAGAGAGGCGTCACCAGATACATGGTACTTTGCTGACTAATTTACCATTACACTCTTTGTTGTAAAAATAATCTAACATGGCTTCAGTGTCTCTAAGGCACCCCAGAGCAAGATTCCACAATTGTTTGATTACATTTATGAATTGAGGGATTGGAAGTGGAAATAGCAATGGGGTCACTGACTATCTAGCCAACAGCAGAAATGTGAGTCCGCCTCTTTCACTTCTCAACTGGCATTTTGGCCATGGGCAGGTTGTTTTCCTGTGATCGTCCATCCAGTTCAGTGGCATTGCCAGTGCACACACCCAGTACCAACAAGTATATGCGATTATGCTGAGAAATTATGCGGACTCTCTAAACAGAGGGAGAGTAGATGACAAAGACTGTCTCAGAGTGTGAGTATCACATAGCCTGACCATTGCGTGTAGGTAAGGCAGCACTGGACTCAGGAGAAACAGGAGCGCCTACGGTACCTTTTTTGCAAAAGGGCCCTTCATAAGGTGAATTGGTGCAATCGCACAGGTAGCCACTGTGCTTCTCCACACACTTGCCCCCATTGTGGCAGATGCTGCCGTAGCTGCTGCAGTGGCCTGGGCAGCCTGGCCTGACTCCAGATGTGACCTTTGCCCTCTCTTCCAGGTCCAGTTTCTGTCCATTCAAGTGTAAGGAGCGAATGCATCCTAGGAAACCTTTCTGTCTGGAAGACGTTCCCCCTAAGAGGTAAAATAAAGGAAACAAATGTAAGGTATTATAGGGCTCAATGCATTTAGGTTTAATGTTGGCATGAGTAAGAGTTAAGTATCTATCTATTGTCATGCAGGGCTCAATTAATTTTTTCATTAAAGTTTCCAGTGAGAGTTGGAATTCCGAAGAGCCCCCAAAAAACAAAATGCATGTCCTAGAAACATGGATGGAGCTAGAGGCCATTAACATTAGCAAACTAAGGCAGGAACAGAAAACCAAATACCCCACGTTCTCATTTATAATTGGAAGGCAATGATGAGAACACTTGGACACAAAGAGGGGAGAAACAGACACTGGGGCCTACTTGAGGGTAGAGGGTGGGAGGAGAGAGAGGAGCAAGAACAAATAACTGTTGGGTACTAAGCTTAGTACCTGGGTAACAAAATAATCTGTACAATAAATCCCTGTTATATAAGTTTACCAATATAATAAACCTGCACGTTTACCCCCGAACCTAAAATTAAAGTTAAGAAAAAAATGCATGTCCTTCTAGGCTGGGAACACCCTCCTTCAGGCTCTTGCCATATACATACAAAAAGTGAAAGATTATAGTTACTACATTTTACAAATTTAAGAGTAAAACTTCAGATAGCCATGTTTCTTGCGAAAAAAAAAATGAATTCTTACACAGTCTATGGCACACTTTCATCTGAAGTGGAAGGCACAGAGTGGGACTATCTTTTCTGGCAATGTTAGACAAAAGCTGTTAAGTACACCAACTTATAAAACTTTAACAGGCTTCCTAATGCTTACGCAGTGCAGTGCCGTGCAGTGGAAGGTGGGTGGACTAGAGCCAGGTAGACGTGGAGTCAGCCTTATGTCACTTGCTGATTAGTCATATTGACCATGGAATTACCTAAGACTCAGCTACTTGATCTATAAAATAAAAATCTACTCTGTGTGTGTATGGTGAGGCTTGGTTAAGATCATAGAATACAGTATGCCCAGTGGTGCATGCTTGTAATACCAGCACTTTGAGAGGCCAAAGCGAGCAGATCACCTGAGGTCAGGAGTTCAAGACCAGCCTGGCCAACATGGTGAAACCCCATCTTTACTAAAAATACCAAACTTAGCCGGACATGGTGGTGGGTGCCTGTAATCCCAGCTACTTAGGAGGCTAAGGCAGGAGAATTGCTTGAACCTGGGAGGTGGAACCTGCGGTGAGCTAAGATCACACCACTGCTCTCTAGCCTGGATCACAGGGTGAGACTCTGCCTCAAAAAAAAAAAAAAAAAAAAAAAAAAAAAGATAATAGAATACAATACATGGCCAATTGTTGCTGCTCCCTTGCCTTGTCTTGCACCTTCACAATGGCTAGAAGCAGGTCCTTAATATATATGTGCTGATTAATCCTAGAGCTAATTCTTACATTATGACTTAGAAGACAGATTTCTTTTTGTGGAATACTCAATAGGCTTGTAAACTTTCTGCTGTGGGTATATCTTGAAGGTTTCAGAGAGATTTGATATGTATCTTGAAAATTATTCTAGAATCAGACAGATTTAATATTTCAGAGTGTTTTGTTCCCATCAGAAATCCAGCCTTCCAACAGCCTACCCCTCTGATATCAGGAAAATGTGTGTTGAGAGACAAACCGGGAAATTAAGCTAAGTCCCATCTGAAGGTATTTATTTGGTGCTGAAACTCCAGGGAGAATCCAGGAAAGGCAGAGGTACAGTTCAAATCCTTGGGCTCAAGTTTACACATATGGATGAGTGAAGGCCACACACAGGTCTTTGAGGTCTACCAGACGTACTATTGGAGGGGCGGAGAAGTTAGAAGGGAAAATACCAAGGGCAGGGCCAGCTTGTCATTCATCTTCTGTACCCTTAGGGTCTCCCATCTGAGCCTCATTCTAGAAATTATTCTACAACTTTATTAAATCTTTGTCTGGCAAATGACCAGATACAGATGTGTTCCTATCAACATGGATCAGATGAGAAACTGAAATGCATTATCTTAGACAGGGAATAGAAATGTTAAATGAGAAACAAAGCTCTAAGTTAAAGGAATGAATAGAAAATCTAAAGAATTCCTGGTATTAGCCAGACTGGCCCAGTGATGGGCTTTGAGGAAGGCAAGGAAATAATTAGAAATGGGGAGGACGTGAGTAGGACATGGGCAGGGGAGAGAGGGGAGAAAAGGGCTATTTTTCCTAAATCCCATCAGGTCAGCAGACTCATAAATATATGCATGACATTCACTTGCTACATCCAAAGATATTTATCTTAAGGGATAAATCTAGTCTTGTATTCTGAAGTAATGATACCTAGAATACGGTATGTGTTCAATCATTATGTTTTCAGTTCCCATAAGTGATACCCAAGCAGGCCAGGAGGCCAAACCCAAATTGCGTTCTTCTGTCTGTCTCAATTTTGGTGAGTCAATCTCTTTAACCACAAGATAAATCAATTATAAACACAAGCAGATTATAGAAGGTTCATTATTTCTTTCCTAGAGAGAGTGTGTGTAGAATAAAAAGGAGAGGATTTATGTAGTCACATGTTTTCTTTGGTTTTGTTTTTCTCATTTTGTAGTCACTCCCCATGGTGGATTTGAATAACTCTTCATATATCTTGTTAGTGTCATTTTTCTTTTAGCAGAAGTGAAGAATGCAAGATCTATTGCACGTTTTCTTGCGTGTGGCTTAGTCAACAAGTTTATAAATGGAGAAGATGGCTGGGGTGGGTGGTTTCTATGGCAAAAGTGCACTCCTTAAGGTTAGAGACTTACAGAGCCTGGCGATGGTGCCACAAAACAAGGTGATTATTTCAATTACAGATGCTGACAAAACACAATGACACAGTGAGTTATGAACTCAGTTGCAGTGACCTGAATTTCCATTTTTCCCTGGCTGCTTTACTCTTTACAAAGGAGAAAACTATGAGTAAGTTTGCTTTTTCTTTATGAAGAGAATAATTTTTAAAAGTTGCCCTTCCTCCAACACACACACACACACACACACACACACACACACACACACACAGAGAGAGAGAGAGAGAGAGAGAGAGAGAATAGTTGTTAGTTCTGTGTATTCTCTGACGATGTTTCCTACTATATGTAGAGAGTTATTGGAGATGCGAATCTTCTGTACAACCTTTTGTACAGGAAAGCAGCAGTGATCTTTCCGCACCCTCCTCTCATAGTCCTCCTCCCCTTCCCCAGTTCTGCAGCTCCCCCCCCCTTTCAGAAATCTCTATTTTTGATTCCTTTTGCTTACCTCTTTCTCTCCTTCTTTCCTTCCTTCTTTTCTTTCTTTCTCTCTTTCTCTCTCTCTCTTTCTTTCTCTCTTTCTCTTTCTCTTTCTTTCTTTCTTTCTTTTCTTCTTTCTTTCTTTCTTTCTTTTTTTTTTCCAATTTATTTATTTTATTGCATTTTAAGAAAGAAAGAGAAAGAAAGAAAGAAGGATTTGCTTGTCATCAGAAAAATCCAAATCTTTCTTCCTTCCTTCCTTCCTTCCTTCCTTCCTTCCCTCCTTCCTTCCTTCCTTCCTTCCTTCCTTCCTTCCTTCCTTCTTTCCTTCCTTTTCTGTCTTTCTTCCTTGCTTGCTTTTTACTTTTCTTTCTCTATCTCCTCCCTCCTTCCCTCCTTTCCTCCCTCCCTCCCTCCTTTCCTCCCTTCCTTCCTTGTTTCTATTTTCTTTCTGCCTTTTTTTTTTTTTTTTTTTTTTTTTT